CTGTGGTCATAAATCAGATATATAAAAGGAAAATACATACTTACACACACACATGTATATAATATTCATGTACCTGTCTGGCATTTTCATTCAGATTATACTGTATGTGGTGAGACTCTATAAATGGGACAGTACAAAAGTCCATGTCCCACCACCTGTATCATTTCATTCCACATTAATAAACATGTTCAAACAGAGGTATGACAGGGTAAGATATCTTCCTTCTCACAAGGGCAAAGGTAGAATTTTAAAAGTCATCTTTTGTTCATAGCTATGAACTTATAAAGATACTTGTAGATATAAAACTTGTTCTAAAATTACCTTGGCTAAAACAAGTGGTCATCAGGCTCAGATCCTTTTGCCATTCAACATCCCTTACTCATATTGGATACTGTGCCAAGTTAGCACAGTATCAAAACAGGCGATCCTAAAAAATGAAAGGAAAATCTCTGTGACAGTCATTTTCTTCTGCCAAAATTCTCCTTGAACTAGCTCGAAAATTAAGTAGCAGACTAAATGTGCCAGGCCACTTGAACAAAAAAAAAAAAAATACAAATAAATACATAATGGGGAACTGGGAAAATAGCCTTTACAAGTTTTGATCTCACCATGTCTAACAATCGATAGTATTTGTATGCTCGTGGCTGCCCCCATCCATGTAAGTGCCCCTGCTTCAGATGCCTGAACTACAGATGATGACCTAGAAAAAGCTAGGAAGAGTGACAATACTTATCTGGGCAAGCTCATCTCTTTGTTTTGTTACTTTTCCATGTTGCATGGAAGACTGACCTACAGAAATAATAAGAGAGCATTTTGATGGTTAAGGAAGTCCAACATCTGTTGTATGGGAAAAACCTTTGCATAAAGTATTTTCTTAAAGTTTTTGGTTTTTTTTTACATTTCAAGATTTAAACGATGCTCTTCTGAGACATATTTGTTACTTTATTCTCCTAGTTGGAGGGCCTTATTAAGTATTTAATTTAACATCACTAGGAGCTAAACAAATTTATTGAGAAAAATATTTTTAGAAACAAATGTTAATTAAAAAGGACTGTGACTAAATATCTGATTCATGAATTGTTGCTGTTGATACACGTATTTTTTCAATAAAAGGCCACGAATTAAGAGGAGTTCTCAGTGGTGGCATGGGGCTCATGCTGCTGTTTCTGGTGTGTGTGTGCGCACGCACATGTGCGCGCACACACAGACACACACACACACACACACATTCCTCTAGGGACAGAAGCCAGCTTTGGGTGACTTTAGGCCAATTTGATGGGTTTAACTTGTTTAACATAGTAAAGAACAGAAGTGAAAACAGTATGTTCTATAAACACATTTACCTGTGTAACAGACACAACTGGGTTTGCTTTTTTAGAGATGAAATCCTAGCTGGAGTTCCTGTGCCACCCTTGATGTAAGCAGCCCTGGTGGGGTCAGTTACTCATTCCTTGTTGTATCATCTATTCTTTGTATATTTTGGAAGTGAAATATATAGATATATTTCATTTTACAGTACTCCATTCTGAGACAGAAAGTTTAAAAGAGAGTTCAAACTGATTTGTGGATTCTGACCCATGAAAAATAAGATTTACTCTAGAATTCATGCAGTCCTTGATTAAGCTAAGCAGTGCAGGAGGATATATATATGTTTCCAATTTTCATCATGCCAGTGTGAACTCTGACAAGATATGATAGTGTTAAATTCAAACTCCGCTTCTACCATCTCTTTTCATAGAACCTACTTTTTAATTCCCAGATCATCTTTGTTGCTCCTTACTGAACAGTTGGAATCATTTTTCAGCTGTGATGCTCAGAATCAAACATAATAGTTGCATAAACAATAACTAGTTTTGAGGTATATGTGCTCTCTTGTTTCCCTGATAACTGAAGAATAGCATATTAACACACAATTTAATTGGGCAGTAACATTTCAGTTAGCAATTAATCTTTTAAATTTTTACTCTTGTCTAATGGGTATTATACTCCAGCTACCAGCTATTCAGCTGCTTTTGTGTGCAAAACTATCTGTGAACACACATTGCTTTTGCTTATATGCATCTGTCATGTATTAAACCAGTGAAAGTACAGTGTGCTGCTGTTATCTCAGCTAAAATCCCCATGATACGTTATGCCCAGTTCTCCACCATCAGGGCCTTACCTCTTTCTAAAGAAGATTTAAAAGTAATAGTTTTAATTTATGTGAATCATATAGCTAATAGCTATTTGCAATTTTTCCAGTATAACCAGTCTTGGGAAACGTGACCTAAAATCCCAGCTTGGATGAAGACAACAGGTTTATTTATTGGTTCAGTCAAGTTTTCTAGTTTTTCAAAGGCAAAATTGGAGATGATTCTGTAATATCTCATCCTCATCTCCAAGTTTTAGACTTCACCTCTTATTTAGACATGCTGTTGGATATCATTCATTTCTAACAACTGATTTAAAGCAGACTTTCCTAAACGGAAGCTCTTTAAATTGGGATCCTACCCACACATCATTTACTATGACTGTATTTGTGTCTCCATGACCCAAGGAAAGCAGTGATAGGTTTTTCAGCCTGATTTGATTTTCAGCCGCTGATTTCGAGAAGCGGCTGCCAAAGAAGTCGAGATATTTAGGCATCCGTATGAAGAAGATATGTTTGCAAAGATGTATTAACAGCCCAATAGAAATAATGGTGAAACTGTTAATGTTTATTGTATTGATGGAGTGCAAAAGGGAGACAACTGTATGATTTTTATTAACCGTTTTAATTAAGTTTTAATTGATTTCCATGAAGATAAATGGTTTCATTATCTGCTCACACTGAGCACCATGGCAGGATATTAAAGGTCTTTGAAAACTTCCTGACAGCAGTGCGGATAATTAGGGACTTTTCTATTGCTTATCTTCTGAAATCATTTGGAAGCTGTTTTATAAGTATATGCAGATGGAATGGTCTTATAGAAGCCTGCCCTTCATAACAGCTACCAGGGCAAAAGAATGTGCCTTCATTTAAGCAAGGTGAAAAGAAGAGAAGGGGTTATGCAGTATCAGTATCCTGGTCCTGTCCTGATACTGATGTCCAGACATGGCTTCATATCATACAGAAGAACTGGCTGTGGGCCCAGTAGGACTAATACCAAGATCGAAAGAAAGAGTTATTACTGTAATAATTCTCAAGCAAATGATAACTCTTAACAGAAGATGAGAAAAAGCAGTGTCTGGGGTTTTCTCTTTTGCCATTTGAGAACTTCAGGGGAAAGCAAATACTTTATGAGGTAGGGCAGAATGCATGAACTGTAGGCTTAGTAATGCCTAATAGGGTAATAGGGCTGTACATATTTTGAAAATGATTCAGAAGCAGGAATGGAGTGCCTCTTTAACAGAGTTGCAACTTTTTTTTGGCTAGTTTAATGAGTCACCTGGGTTAATGCAACTCATTAAGCACACAGTTATATAGAGACCAGAGCCCAAGATCAGCTTCATCCTAGATCAAGAAGCATTCATAATTGCGAAATCAGGGAAAGTACATATTTCCTACTAAAATGATGTTCAAGGTGGTTAACAAGTCCTTGATATGCCTTTTGAATAACCCCTATTTAATCTGGATGAAACATTAATTTATTTATCTTCATCAGTCCATGACCGATATCAAGCATGGTTTTAGTATTTGGACAAATTTCTTTGATTTCTACCATTGAAAATTTTAGCCCAAGGTAGAAAAATAGTATTTATAGTCCATGTTTACTAACTGAAAAAGTGGAGATTGGCCAAATATACGAATTTCTCAATATCTGGCCTATATCGGTAGATCTGCTGCATCAAATGCTGAGCTACCAGAACTGTCCGTAAAGGCAAACTGTTCTTTGTATTAAACATGTTTAACCAAATGCATATGCAGTTCCAGAAACAAACATGCAGTTCCAAAAGCACTTGTGCAATATGAAATTCAATAATAATTTAAAGTGGTATTATGAGCATTTCATCACTAACAATTTATAGCATCTTTGCAGGCATAGCCGTGCTAATATATCACTAATGAAGACAGGCTTTATATCACCATGGGCGATATAAATTGCTGGTGTGGAAAGCTCCACTAGCTGATGAAAAAAGTGACTGATCAACAATGTGATCTCCATACCATGCTGAATGGTATCCACATATCCCATTCTACTACAAAAGATATTCACTAATGCACTGTTGCTTTTTAGAGAATGCTCATGTATTGTTTCAAGATAAAGGAAAGGGATTCAGTTCAGTGACAGAGTGTCTGTTTGCCATGCCTAGACTTTAATCCTTGGGTACTGCAGATGGAGCTGAGAAAGACTCTAGTCTGAAAGCTGGAGAACTTCAATTGAAAAATTGCTGTTCTATTTTTTTCTTCTTTTTTAAAAAAATCATATATTGTTTGATTGCTGTACTTGACTTTCTTTCTTCGATGTTCGACTCTAAAGCCACAATAATAATGATACTTTTTGCTCTGGGAGGGACACATGATCATCTAATCACTGGCTTTGATTGTTGTGTTTTTTTATAGGGCGTCAAACATGTCCCACCAGGGAAGAAAAAAAAAAAAAAGGGCAGTTTTTTGTAACATCTTTCTCCAGAAGTATATAAATCTCAATTATTGCCTCAATTGTTCCTTCCTTGACTAAGAACAATGAATTAACCGTTTCTTACAAAACAAAGAGGGGAGAAAATAGGTATAAATTTTGCTTCCTGTCACAAGATCTAAAAAGACTAGAGATGGCTCTCTTGAAAAAGAAAGCTAGCTAACTGGTAATCTGTGGCTTGGAATATGATTTGCCTTCTGGATGCCTGTTCATTGGATGTCCATCCTTACAGTTACATGGTTCCAATTCAGACATTAAAGAAGCTTTCACTGGCTTAGAGAAAGTCTTCTGATGGTACAAGCTGCTTTCACCCCTGTATAACTTTTAGGCAAGTGATCCTGATGTGGTGCGAAAGGCTATTACAATGTTGTAACTTTAATATATATATTTTTTATCTTCTAGGCTACTGACCCGGATGCTGGAGTAAATGGCCAAGTCCATTACAGTTTAGCAAACTTTAATAATCTTTTTCGTATAACATCCAATGGCAGTATTTATACTTCAGTGAAACTAAACAGAGAAAAAAAAGATTATTATGAACTCATTGCTGAAGCAACAGATGGAGCCGTGGATGCACGTCGTACAACATTAACTCTGGGAATCAAAGTCCTGGATATTGATGACAACAGCCCTGTATTCACAAATGCCTCCTACACTGTTTCAATTCCTGAAAGCCTGGCCCCAGGCACTGTATTTCTTCATTTAGAGGTAAAGGAGGCATGAATTTCAAAATATATTGATGGCCAAGAAAATGTGCCATAAAATGTTTGTGTGTGTGTGTCTGTGCGTGTGTCATTGAGTCAGACCTGACACCTGGTAATTACATGGACAAGTCTATTCAGTTTCCTTTGCCACATTTTCAGAACTGGTTTGCCCTTGCTCTCTTCCTAGAACAAAGAGTGACTGGCCCAAAGTCACCCGCCTATTTCCATGCCTAAGGCAGAATTAGAACCGACAGCCTCCCAGTTTCTAGTCTAGCACCTTTAACCACTATACGAAACTGTCTCTCTAGGTAACTTTCCTGTATATTAAAAGGTTCATTCAGTTACAAAAAAAGAATAAGTTATCTCCTTATGAAATGTTCCAGACTATATTCAGGATTTGTAATCTGTAGAAAACAAAAAAATTACTAAAATAGTAGGAGTCTTTATAATAGATTAATTAACAATAATGATTTTCAGTATTTTAAATCAGAAAAATACTAAAAGGCCTTGAGCTGTCATTAAAAATATTTCCAGTCCAAAAATAAAATAATGAAATAAAATAGCTAAATTAGTATAGCTTTATGCCTTCAGGTCAGTCTTGGTTTCTGGCAACAGAGAGAGTGACTGGCCCAAGGTCACCCAGCTGGCTTCAAACCAAAGTCTCCTGGTTTCTGGCCTGTTGGCTTAACCACTACACCAAACTGGCTCTCAGCTAAACTATTATCCTTTGTCAATGTTAATATCTGTTTGAATCTGTAGAGGCTATTTAAATTCCTTTTTTGACACCAATACAATACAATTTGGCATATTTATTTGCATGACTACAAAACAATTCTTAAAAAATAAAAGTCATATCATAATCATAACTTAATCATAACTAGAGTTTGAGTTAGCAGTGGAGCATCAGTGGCTACCTGTTACACCCTTACGTTATGTTTGCAGAAATACCCCTCCCTTAAAAAAAAAAAGAAAATAGTCAAACTCTCATGAGACCACCAAATCTAATGAGATATGATATTCTTGAGAGTCCAGCTATATTTATATGATTGGTGTTTTTATTTATTAGCAACTCTGCCATCGCACAGAATAATGTGATAGTATCCAGCTCCTGAAGATGTTCTTGACTGTAGATGTTCTTGATATGTAGGTTTGATGCCCTCTGATAAATAAATGGGTTTGAGAAAGATTTTTGGAGGGTGTGGGGTGTGTGTGTGTCAGGGGAGTGTCATACATAGGCATGAACTCAATGCTGCAAAAATATTTTGGGGATGTCATTTTGTAGCAACAGAATTCATAAACCCTAAAACCCTGTTCTTCATTTCCTCAAGGCTAAAGACACTGACCTTGGTTCCAATATTACCTATGGAATACGAACTCAGGAACCACTCCAGTTTTTTGCACTGAACAAGGTTACAGGAGAATTGTCACTTTTAAAGTCCTTGGATTTTGAGTCCTTTTCTGGCACAGAAGCAACCTTCACTTTTTTAGTGGAAGCCTTCGATATTGGAGGAGCAATGCCTCCAGGCCTTGCTACTGTTACTGTGAGAATAAGGGTAAGAATTGCATTTTTCCCCCTTCTCTATTCATATAATCTCTGCTCAGTGATGCTTTTAAACAAGACCCAGATACATTTCAAGAAGGACAAAAATACCCAAAGAAGGCTTCTTTTTCTTTTAAGGTTTTGTAATCTTCATTCCGTTTCATTCCTATAGGCAGACTTTATAAGAATAACATGTTTAAATTTATAATGCATTACATTACATAATTAAAGAGCTATTTCTTGGTTCATAGATCTGTGAGCTACAAAATTGAATGGGTGAATCTTTTAAAATCCCCCATAGATGGAAAGAAACACTTGACTGAAGTGGCAATGCCTATATTATAGTTTAAGTCCACAGAAATCCACAGTTTTATTATCTTCACTTAGGGATCAGCTCTTTGTATGAACTGAACTAACATTTCAATTTCTGTTCTTACAAAGCTCCAACTTTCTCTCCAAAACATGTCTAATCTACTATTCCAATAGAAATGTTTCTGCTTTCATGAATTGCTATGCAATTTGCGTATCTTAATCTTGGTAATTTTAAGGGGCACTTCACTTATTGAATATCCAAGTATATATTCCAAATATTTTAAATACAAAGCATCTGGGCCAAACTCATATTTGCAAATGTGTGTCAAGTTAGTACACAATTGAGGCTTATCCATTGGTGAGCTATATGTATTTGCTTATGTATGATGTGTGAAACAGCTGTAATGCCCATTTGTGAAATACTGAAAAATGTATCCATGTTGTTAGTGGCTTAGATACATATAGGTATAAGTGTATTTTTTGACTGAGTTGAGTGTACCATCATCTGTGAAGAGAGCATTCTAGGATCTTTCATATATCTGGAGATACAAGTTTCTTTTACTCTTTTTTTCTGTGGTTTTAATCAAGAAAATGAAGGCAGACTGTACGTGGTATGATTAATTTGACAAATTGTCTAAAGAAGGTTTCAAACAAAGGTAATAAAAGTACCTAAATATATTGCAAGAGAGCAAATATCTCATTCGCCAGTCTCATACCAGGTTATTTTAAATGGCATATTCAGTGGAGAAATATAATTGTTCAACACACGCAAAACTTGTCATATAGAGACGTTTTCCTTTGCATCTGCTAGTGCACCTGCATTTTCATAGAGGGTCAAGGGTCCAGTTTTATGGAAGATAGGATTGGATGGAATTTCTTAGTGCTACATTTTGTTCAATATATATATAAAAAAACCTATAGTAGAAAATCTGTTTCAATCCATTCTTTTGCTTCTTCTCACTCCAGATGTCTTGTTAAGAAATTATTATCCAGCATAATTTGTATTGTTCATCTTTCCTAAATTTTGGTGCTTTTAAATTTCTCTTTCAAACGTTGTCACAGACAGTGAGCTTATTTCTGTATTCATAACAGAGAAGATAGGTGACCTGTAGCCTCCTACAGTTCCATCCTTTCTTACCATTTGATGATTCTAGATGAATGAATTATACTTGAATAAGTGGAGAAATGCACACACGTGCCCATATACTGTACATACACAGGCTGTATCATCCTTCAGAATCATTTGGGAAATCATGGGAAAAAGAAGCAACCGCTTTGCAGAATTATCAACAAGTGGTAATTGAGCATCCCTGCATATTATGAAGCACCCTTTTCTATATAAATCCAAAGCACAGCCCAGTTCTAATGTGCATATATGTATGAAAATTGCAATTGAATGACTGGCTATGTAGATAGTATTGATGGGAGAAGTTTGGTTTCTGGGACCATATTCTAAGTTATCTATCTAAGTTATGGACTGGACACAGATGCTTGCACTTCATAAGGACTGGTTTTAAAAAAAAAGTGTTTGGCCAAAGTATAGTGAGCTCATTGAGAAGGATTTTAAAATGAATCCTGTGCAGGTTGGACATAAAAACCATAGCTCTTTCAATAAATTCTCCATTCTCTTGTCTTGCTGGCAATTTTCTTTTTCAAAGGATGAAGGAAGGTGCAAGGTAGTTGATACCAATCAATATGGAAGATGTAGGGCTTTTCCCCACAGCTCAGTTAAAATGCTTTCCTCCTATCTGCAAGCAGCAGAAACATAAAGTGGCATAGATTTGGCTGACCTTGCTGTTAATCCTAGTTGCTTCTGTCCTGGCTTGCAACTGGAGCTTGGTGTCCTCATGTCCCATTCAAGGAAAGCTACCTGAGTACTGGATTCTTCCACAGTCCAAAGCAGAATGATCCTGCAGATGTGTGTGTGCCAGCCTGAAGTAGCCAATCAGTTCAGGCTAATCACACTTCCTAGGGAGTCATCTGACAGCACCACCAACACAATGGTTATGAAGCATGTCAGAGTGTACTTACAATAAGTTGTTGTGAATTGTTAGATACTGAGGGGGAGGTAGATACTGTTTTAACACTGGAACAGCTAAGCTTTAAGCTCTCTAACATATGAGTTGGAGACAAGATGAAGAGAGCATCATGAGGACACAGCAGGACGTGCTGGGACATGTCCAAATTCTAATTAGGTTCAAGCAAGGAAAGACCCTTGGTCAAGGAGGTAGAAGGAGTGGAAAAGTAGCTACTAAAAAGCAGAAATGCAAACAATATCAATGAAGAAAATAATAATTTTAAAAAAAGAACAGCAGAACAAGCCAATGTGGCTGAAGATCCCTATGAAGACATATATAAGAGGAGTCAAGGATGACAGACCACCAAGGTAGCCTATATACAGATTGTTTCTTTTGGCTAAGAACAAGTGTGGTGTATGCAGAGAGCTTAGAAAGGTAGAGAACGTGTCCAGAAAGAGAAAGGTCAGAATGAGCTGATGCTGGCAAAGGACGTAAAGAATAATTTTTAAAAGGTTTTTTTTTCAAAAATATTCAAGATAAAAAGAAAAAAAATGGTATATCTGTGGCTGTATTAAGATAGCAACATGCTAACAGGCAAAGGAAGTCAATGGTATCAAGCATTTGAAATGGGCCTTTGCAAACTCTGTTGGTGTGAACAAAGCACCTCTCCTTGAAGCTTTTATATAGCCACGTCCTCCAGATGGTTCAGTACAGCTGCTTTTCAGGCTGTCCTCGATCAGCTGCATCTGGGCATGCATGCACACCCATTTTGCTGTGCAATTTTGGGCTGCATTGATAGATGTATAGTTTCCCGATTGCAGGAAATAATAATTCGACTTTATTTTGCACTGGTCAGACTCAGCCTCAGATTACTGTTTCTAGTTTGGGACCATGCCCTTGAAGATTTCAGACAAATGAGAACACAGGTTCCAAAAAGGATTAGAAACCAAAGCTGACGAAGAAGTGGAAATGTTTATCTGCCTGACAAGAAACATGATAGCATTCTTCAAATACATGAAAGGATGATGTGAAGTCCCAGAGAAGGTTCACCCCCTATCCTTATTCATGCATAAGTTCAGTTGTAAATATCTATCATGCATGATCGCCAGTGGGAAATTCTTTCCAGTAGTCTCCCCTTATTTTACAACATATTCCACTTCATTGCAGGAGTGATGCTCGTGCTGAACATAACTTGCCAGCAGAAAGTACAGAGTATGAGGATAAGTCTGGCCCTCAGCTTGATGTGTCGAAGAGCCAGGATAGTCCAGATTTCATCTCAGCCCTTTATGGCATCAGGCCATCTGTCTTCCTGTGCCAATCCTCAGCCTTAAATGTCCTAGCTTTCAGTTTTCCATGGGAAAGCTCTCCCTATCAGACATATCTCTTTTCAAACAACAGAAAAAAATGTGGAGAAGAGCAGGGAGTCACAGTCAGTTCTATATTCCAGTTAATATGGTGTTTTAACCAAATGAAAAGCACAGGCCAACACCACAGCAATCATATTGAACAGAACATTATTATTATATTATGAAAAGTAATCGTTTATGTCTAATATTCAGTCAATGACCAGCAAAAAAAAAAAAAACTAAAGTAAAATCAAATAGAGATAAAATATAGCATAACAAAGATAAAATAACACATAAAAATATGACATACACTGCATTAATTACCTGTGCAAGTGTAAATCTAAAATATTACAGACTATGAAATAATATATATATAAACTAACAACAAGATAGCTAGTATGTGATAAACCTAAAGTGATAAATAAAATAGAAGGGATTATGTCTATAACCAGTTTTGCCTTATTTTCATTGCAGCAACACAGAATTTGGCTACTGCTCAAGTGATAAAGGGTTTCCAATCTTCTAGAAGATGGTTCACATAGAAATTGTCTGGTCTTCCTGGAAGTTTACATATTAGGGGCAGAATATAATAGTTAAATTGTAGCCGTAAATTCCTTTTAAAACCAAGTGTCATGTAGAAGAGAATCAAGGTCTCTCCTTCATTTCAGAGTGTAGGACACAAAATAACCAGATTAAGTTACAGAAAGGCTGATTCTAAATGAATGTGGAAGGGGAAAAAATCCCTAAAAGAGTGAAGCCAGTTATCTAGAGACATGGTGGTCTCCCATTCATTGGATGCATTCAGGTCAATGCTAGACAGCCAACTGGCAGTGATATCTTCCTCGCCGAACAAGACACTGGACTTCATGGCTGAATACGCCTCCCAACTTCTTCAAACGCTTTTGTTATTCTTGCCCATCTTTAGAATAAACAATATAGTTCTCTCAAATGTTCATGCAGTCCTTATTAAATATTCTTTTCCTGGACTCACCCTGCATTTTGCAATAATTTCTGCAGACAAATGATAAAAGCAATCTAATTTGAGGTCAGAATTTTAAAAAAAAATAGCATGGGAAACAATGGTGTTGTTCCCACACATCTTTATCCAAGTTTGAAGTTGATTTCAGATATTTTATTTTGACCATGATTTTCTGGGCTGGACATAGTGGTGAAATGAAAGTGGAAGAGGAATGATGAGGAAAGAGGAAGAGCAAGGAACTTGCTCACCATGACAAAGTTTTCACCAGCTAATTCCACTGTTTTTTATCAACCCATATATATGTTGTTTATATTGTATGTAGGATGTAGTAAGTAGAAGTTAAACATATTTCCCAAAA